ACCGAAAGGCTGCCCGAAGCCCATCACTCAATTATTAATACCTCTCGTTCTATCTTCGTCGTTGCAAAGAACATTTTTTTGACCTGATAACTAGGAATTAAGAAGGGGAGCTTAAGCCTTAAGAGGGGTGGTGGGGGGGGGGGTCTCGCCCCCTCCAGCTCCACCAGACCCTATGAGGACACTTCCCCTCCCGCTGTCACGAAAGTCAAATGGCCCAGTCCCGTATATTGTAACCCAACGTTGTACTATTTTAATAAATTACGACGCGCAATTTTATTTATTTTGCGACGGACAAGAGATTCAGACAAACAAAATAAAGGAATCGGCAGACTCTGGTCACCGGGTTCGTAGCGCGCACTTGAGCGAACCACAACAACCACCGCTCTCTGCCCCAGACACGTGGCTCACGTGATCACCAACATTTAAATGGCATTTGCTACCGATATATTGTCATAGTCAGATTTGTAAACCTTCGACTGCATTTCCTGTATATGCAAAATTACGTGAAAATGTACCGGATTAGGCAATTAATATCTGCTTGTAATCACCCCCCCCCCCACAGTTAAACCGCCGATTAGCACGGTTGGCTACGCACAGCGCGAAAGAAGTTCATACATACAAACCTTGTCAGGCAGGCATGGCTGGCATGCTGTATCCCCTACGGGGGTATGGGGCCATGCATTTAGTAGGCAGGCAAACATCTGTCAAAACTTGACCTCCCCCCCCTCCCTGTACGCACGGACTTTTTACAGCCCCCCCCCCCCCCGCGTATGTACGCTTGACGCCCCCCCCCGAATCCTATAGAACGGCCGATATTTAATCCACGCAGAAACGATAAAGGATTAATAATATTAACGTGTTTAAGCAAACAGATAGTCCACCGCCGGCTGCATTAAAGGATTAAGTTTGCATACCTTGGCCACTTATTTTGCTGAGCTTTTCAGTTTTCATGTATTTGGTATAGCCCTGTGAGCCATTCGGCTCTTTAATCGGGTGCAACCACAACAAACAAAAACATGAACAAGAAAACATCTTAAAGTGACTATGTGACTGTGTTAACAGAAAATCCAGGAAAAAACAGCAAAATATTCCTGAAAAAGCACCGTACACCAACGCTGTGTACAAAAATCCCAGTGGGATGCAAGTCAAACAACAACAACCACAAGACAACTTAGATTAAGGCCATCAGTTTAACTCCGTACTACAACAAACAAACATGGCCAAACCAAAAAACGTATTCGACATCACCAAAATAAAGCCAATAAAGCAATGTAACAATGATCATGGGGACTGTGACCGAATTTTCACAATAAACGACAAACAACATGTAACACCAAACCCTAGAGCCATAGCTGGCTGCATGCGTCACTCCACTGCGTGATAACTGCAGTCAGGGGTACGTACGGTGGCACACAAGTGACACCTCTCCCAGTCCCACTTCTCCCGGTAGTCCTTGTTGTCTGACAGCTGAAGACACTGCACTGTGGCTCATTTAAAGGCCAATGTAGATAAATTGTTATCGAGGCTTCATCACCCCCTTCCCTATGGTACGTACATTGTCAGTAGACCCCCATATGAAAGCGTACACATTTGGGTTAACCCCCCCCTCCCTCCTCCATGCGTACGTACTAAATGGATGGCCCCTAAACAGCGTGTGCTGCAGGAGATACAGAATGTGCCGCGATGTCGTACTGAATATTTCCATTGCTGTAAACGAGGGATGAACATCGCCCCAATGCTCATTTTAGCAATAAATACTTTGACTCTGACATATGCTTTGAGAGATGGGATCCGGTTTCATCCAATGCAGAATGTGGGGCCTAGAATGAGAGCTGATAAAAATAAACAGTGCATTAACCAACTCAAGGTACAAGACGACCCTTAAAATAGCAGCTATAAGAGCCATCAATCAATAGACATTGCATTCGTGCCTTCAGATAAACCACACGCACATACTACCGTGTGCAATTTTTCATTTTTAGCACACGAAGGGATTGATTTGATTGGTGGTGCTCTGGTAGTGGCACAATGGTTTGCATATACTGTTACAAGTGGCCAGCAAATTTTTGACAACATATTGAAAGTAACCAGACTCATAAAGAACTCCTCTTATCCATGATACTATTACCCATGACTCCCCTTTTCCTCGGGAACTGAGGTCCTCGAAAGCTTATATAATCCACGACCCTATTATTCATATTATCTGCAATAGCCCACGGTATTTCCAGTCCTGATTTTGCGGAATGGCTTATCAGCAATGTTTTTACAGACAAGAGTGGTTTATCAGCAAATTCACCCGATTATCCATGATTATCTGCAAAATGTCACAGAAAAAGTGTATCGAATTTACAGATAACCCTACGGATAATAGGGTCGGTGATGCTTGTCCCCCCACATCACGACGGATAATAGGGTGATTGCCATTACTGTACCTATAACGTGTAATGTTATATTTAGAACATCTAAACCCTAACATAAGTGAACGTATACCGTTTTTTAATAGACTAGCACGTCCCTCTGATGTTAGCCATGGCTGGAAATGTAATCCAGGGCACCATATGCAAAGTGTAGTTCACTAGCCACTGCACCACCACTCCATGCCGTATACTGTATTACATTGTTAAATTTACTTAAACTACCATCAACATCTGCCATTGTGTATTCACCGATGGATGATCTTCATGCTATCACCATCCCTAAGTGAATTGATGATACCTTTCATCTCACTACTGAGCTTAAACTGATCTCAAACTACTCTCCTAATATTTGTCTTGTAATTCTTAAATGACGACAGGCCACTTTTTACAACTGAAACTTCTGTACAGTGCCTGCGTTTTGTGGAAAGGGGTTTAAGTCCGTGGGCGAGGCATTGGAACGCCACAATACACGATTTTGGCAAACTCACCAAACCCGTGTTCTAAGTTAAACTTGACATTGTACGTGTTTGTTGGGGGTTTTTTTGTCTTTCCTCATTTGATGACAAAGTGTCTGGGAACAAAACTATTCAATCCCGTGGTCTAAGTTCTACTTGACGTTGGTACGTGTATGTTGGATTTTCTTTCGTATTGCCTCATCTGATGACAAAAGTGTCTTAAGAACTAAAAACTGTCGAGAAAAATGGCGAGGCCCTGCCCTCCGTTAGAGGACTGGGCAGAATTGTCCTGACTTGTCCATGGGTCAAATTTTTTCTACGGTAGGTCCAGTGAGTTTGTGACTCGGAGGCTAAAGGTTTACACAATAACGTGGGGGTTTATTTAAGGGTGATTCTGAAGGGGGCATTGGGTTCTGCAGTATGCCTAAGACCCATTTTTAGGCTTTTCTGTGTGTAACATTTGCAGTACTGCGTGTAATAATACAATCGCGACAGCTCCTCTTATCTATGATAATGTGGGAGACTGATATCCCGGATGCTATTATCCACAGGGTTATCCGTGGATTTACTCCAGTGACCTGCACAATTTTTGTTGTTGTAGATTCTCGGAATAGGGCCGTGGAGCCAACGTCTTTTACGGATAAGAGGAACTGCCGGTAATAGGGTCACGTATAAAAAGTTATCTCCAGTAAATTACATTTTAGCAGGAGAGCGTCACTGAGTGAGAATTCTCTTTTCCAGGAGGGTGCCGTTATTAGGATGCTTGGCCTCATTGTTGTGAGTGTAAATCATTTAGAAATGATGAATCCGAGGGAGATGTGAGTAAAACTGGAATTGGTCAAGTGGAAAAGTGGTCAGAGAATGAACCGCTGAGAAGCGAGGTTAATAAATCTGGGCAGACACACGTGAGTCAACTGGGGTTTTAACTACTTGGTACTAAGTTCATGGTTTCAGCACATTCATCAAATGACTGACCAAAAAAAACCCATCAGTTTCAATTTAGTTTTCGCTTTCGTTAAATCCCAGCTGTAAGAGTAAGTAAATAAAAAATCTGTTTGGCATGCGATGGATTTTTTTCTTCTTCCAACAGGACGTGTGGGAATCTCAAAGTAAAAACCTATGGGTTTGTCAAACGACAAATCGCTAAACCGGTAACCCGTTCGTAATGATCGATTACGGTTTCAAAATAACCAGGAACTGGCAATCGTTTCCTGTGGAATGCCACAGGAATCAATGATGCCCCAAGTGGTCGGGGCGACCGGACAAGCCGGCACGCCGCGTGCGACTCTGACGGGGCTGGAAGCAGCAGCAGCAGCCGCCGGGACTTGCGCGTCGAGACGACCTCGGCAAGTCTCCGCGTTCCTGTTTCTCGGTTAAAGTTGCAAGACGAAGGCGGCGATCAAGGTGCGAAGCCCCGCAAATTGGTGCTCGCGAGCGGAATGGCACCACCCGCACGTGGATGCAGCCTTTGGGCCAATGTTGGCCTCACGTTTGTTGTTGTTTTTTGACTGGGTTACCTGTGTGCTGGCCATGAAGAGTTGTTGCCCAGAACGTCTCCTGTTAGTTGCTTGTTTTTTATTTTATACGCTTTTATTTAACTCGCTGTCTGTTGTTGTTGTATCCTCAAATCTTGTAACTCAATTATAACCCACTTCCCAATGTGGTATCGACTTCAAACTTGGTATACTTATGTCATACCGATGGCAATACTATATTCTATTAAAAAATATATTTTTACACATTCTTTTTTATATGTTATGTTTCGTATTGGGTCTATTTGTCCACGCTCAACTGACGTTGGCTGTAAATCACCACGGCTCCCTTACGTTATGGCAAGCTTCGGAGCCACTTCCTGGAGTCGTGGAGTTCTGACATTACTCGTACGGTACATTTCATTAAAGCGTGTTTTTAAGTACTTTAAATATTACTGATTTTTTTTCAAGCTACACCACAGTGTTGTTGACGAATGTTGGATTTTTGTTTCCCCCTTTGGCGATGAGACGTGGTTTCCCCCTTTGGCGATGAGACGTGGGTGCATTGTGCCAGAAGCGTTTGAAACGTGGTTCTAGTGCCCTCTCGTGGCTGCCACGTGACATGAACACTCACGTGGTCAGCCACGCGACGTGAACACTCACGTGGTCAGCCACGTGGACCCCCCCCTACAGGACAACGCGAGTTACGTCCGGGTTAACAACGAGCGCCATGCGCGGCATTGTTGGCAATCCACTGCTGGATGGTGACCCGTTCACACCGTTTTGGGGGCGATTGTTTGACCATACTTCACCAGTCCGGGCCGTATGGCGCTCTGCCCTTTTTAATACCGCGTCTTAGTGCGGTGGATTCCCCTCTAAGCAGGTGATCGCGCAGGACGGGACTCGACACTGGGTGCTGTGCCCAGGCTCTCATCTTCATCAGTCACAATCATGAGCACCCGACAAGAGGTGAATCCCACGCAGGGTAAGAACCGAAATCCATCATCACGTTCACCAAACACCTCCACCACCATCGCCTCTCGTGGCGGATATAAAAAAACAAATATGTAGTTCCTGTATGAAAACATAACAATAGGTTTTAGCCCTTGCTAGCAAGAAAACTGGAGGCGTTAAGACGTTCAAACGCCAAATAGAAACATTTTGCAAGGAATCGAGTCCGCGTTAACCACACACAGTACTTGTGGTGAACATGCGAACGAACATGGCTCTGATAATTCTGTGTGAAACTGATTGGCCTACACCAGCCTTCTTTACGGCCTTGACGAGCAAGCGGTCCCAAACCTTTTTGGTACCAGGGACCGGTTTCGTGGAAGACAATTTTTGTCACGGACCGGGGGTGGGCTCATCATTGGGTCTTTTCCTCTTTTCAAAGAAGCTCTGCAGCGACGTTTGTTGTAGTTTTTTACTAATTTTGGCTACCAGGGATAGCGCTACATCCCTCGCATGCGCAGTTTACAGGAGGATTTGCACTCCTGTGAGAGTCTTTTGCCGCCGCTGATCTGACAGGAGGCGGAGCTCAGACGACAATGCGAGCGATGGGGGAGCAGGCTGTCAACACATGATGATGATGAAGATCATCTATCAATACAGATGATGATGAAGCTTCATCTATCAATGCAGATGATGATGATGAAGCTTCATCTAGCAATACAGATGATGAAGCGTCATCTATCAATGCAGATGATGATGAAGCGTCATCTATCAATACAGATGATGATGAAGCTTCATCTATCAATACAGATGATGATGAAGCTTCATCTATCAATACAGATGATGATGAAGCTTCATCTATCAATACAGATGATGATGAAGCGTCATCTATCAATACAGATGATGATGAAGCTTCATCTATCAATACAGATGATGAAGCTTCATCTATCAATACAGATGATGATGATGATGAAGCTTCATCTATCAATACAGATGATGATGATGATGAAGCTTCATCTATCAATACAGATGATGATGATGATGAAGCGTCATCAATACAGATGATGATGAAGCGTCATCTATCAATACAGATGATGAAGCTTCATCTATCAATACAGATGATGATGAAGCGTCATCTATCAATACAGATGATGATGATGATGAAGCTTCATCTATCAATACAGATGATGATGATGATGAAGCTTCATCTATCAATACAGATGATGATGATGATGAAGCTTAATCTATCAATACAGATGATGATGAAGCTTCATCTATCAATACAGATAATGATGAAGCGTCATCTATCAATACAGATGATGATGATGAAGCTTCATCTATCAATACAGATGATGATGAAGCTTCTATCAATACAGATGATGATGAAGCTTCATCTATCAATACAGATGATGATGAAGCTTCATCTATCAATACAGATGATGATGAAGCTTCATCTATCAATACAGATTATGATGAAGCTTCATCTATCAATACAGATGATGATGAAGCTTCATCTATCAATACAGATGATGATGATGAAGCTTCATCTATCAATACAGATGATGATGATGAAGCTTCGCTCGCTCACCCACCGCTCACCACCTGCTGCTGCTGCTGTGCGGCCCGGTTCCCTTCTACGTGACTTTACCGAAAGAATCAAGAAGATGAATCCCTGCAGTCACGAAAGCTTTAAATCGAGGGGGTTGGGGACCCCTGGCCTGTAGTTTCACCAGTGTCAGACCAGAGAACAGCGCCAAAAAGCGAACAAGGACAATGCCACTATCAGGGTATTTATAGCTCGGCGTGAGCAGCTACAAAATGGGACCTTTTTGCCAGTGTGAAAGTATGAAAGAATAAGAATAGATACTCTTTGGTGCTTTCGGTGAAGTCACGTAGGTATATTTTATTTTATACCTACGTGGACTTTACCGAAAGAACCAAAGAGTATGGATTCCTGCAGTCACGAAAGCTTCAAAGATTGAATAAGAATAGGGTTTTACCCTTTCTGGCAATAAAACATGTGTTAAGATGTTCAAACACCAAATGGAAACCTTTTGCAAGGAATTATCGGAGCATGTTTTTGTTTGCATGTTCTCACAAGTACGTGTGGTTAATGCGAACTGGTCACAGCCATAGGAATGTGGAATGTTTCACCCCACTGGCTAAATGATTAAAATTTTACTCTTGATAAAAAAATGTCCACCCTCATCATGTTCTGTCGTTGCATCTTCATCATCATACTGGAGTGCATTGTATTCATAATAGCCATCAGTAATGATTAATCCACTGCTAGATGAAGGCCTCTTGGAGTTGCAATCCATCTGAAGCCTGCGCACAACCTCATTGCGGGGGGCCTGGACCTCGCCAGTAAACATGGAACGTTGGGCCAACGTTGATCCAATTTTCCATGGTTGTGTTATTGACACATCTTCAGTTTGTTAATTTAGATTGTTACTGTTTGTATGTATGTTGAACTTCTTTTGCACCGTACGTAGCCAACTGCGCTAATCAGCGGTGCGGGGGAAGAACAACAAATTAAACTCAAAAAGCAGCTCTAAAGGAATTCGTTTGTCAATCTAGATGATGATTTAAAAGTGCACAGCTCCAGTAGCTTCCTAATATCGGAAGGAAGAGCGTTCCAGACGGCCGCAGAAGCTCATCTGAAAGCGCGCGATGTAGGGACCATTTTTGTTCGATGTTTAGCCAGAAGCTGCTGTGAGGATGACGTGATGATGGCTCATGCTCCTTGACGAGACCAGCAAGGTATTGTGGTTCATTCGTGGCAAGCACTTTGTGTGTAACGAGTGTGACCTTATTATGAGTGGTGCTGGTCACCCACCCCCTCGTGTGCCACAGTGCTGGGCCCTTCATAGGTGCTACTGGCTAACAGAAAATTGGCCCCCAACAGTCTCGTTAAGGCGACACACGGGGGATCTCTTTGTCTTTTCTCCTTCCAGTGGCTGCGGACATCCTCTGCGAGTTCCTGGAAGTTGCAGTCCACATGATCCTCTATGTGCGGCAACTTTACCCGCTCGGCATCTTTGAGAAACGCAGAAAGTACAACGTGCCCGTGCAGGTACAATGTCAATAATCCCTTATTGGAACCTCAGAATGTTTTTTTTTAAATACTTGTTTATATAATTAATGTATTATTGTGTTTTCCCCCTCTCCTTGCAATTGTCTCCATTTGTAAAATGAGATCATGCATAATAGAGTTTTTTTTGTGGGTTAGATCACGTAAATATAAATGTGTCGTTTAACCTGCCACTACCCGACGCAGCCAATTATTAAGGGTTGTCACGTAAACAAATAAGAGCCAATTAGTTACTAGTTCAGCACAGCGGTGTGTTGGTGAGTAAACCCACAACATTTACAATTAAGATAATGCAGCTGGGAGAATCAGTGCTTTCCTGATGGGAATACCTCAGTCTCGCTTTCTCTTCACTCACATTCGCATCACCTTCACTGACATTTCGCTGAGCCAGGGTCACTCTTTGCAAATTAGACTATCTTGGTCCCCTCGAGTTTCCCTTAACTGGCTAAACAAAAAAAATATACACTTGAAACTTTATTTTTCCTCATCATCCTCACCGTCCCTTAGCATAGTGTCCCCACAGAGTATGAGAATCATTGATAAGTTAAAAAAAAATGTCATAAATTATTGTCCTAAATTGTATATAGTTTTTTTTAATGCGTGTTTATAAATTTACGTAATTGTTGTTAACGCGATAAGTCAAGAAATATGTGCAGTTTGTGCTGTCTGGTTGCCTGGGTGAAAAGTGATGGAGCCATGTCTGAACCCAGTCCTGGTCAGCTGGTTCAAACACACAATAGCAAACAGATTTATAATTACTGTAACTTACTTAGCCCTCTGATGTGTATTAGAGCTGTACCGTGCCTTGTTTGGAATGATGTCCGACATTTCGGGCCATGTGCCGGGAACTCCTTTAGGAATGGAATCATCAGAAATCATGCCAAAAACACACAGTACACAAGACAGCACAAACACATAACTGATTTATATTAATAAAAGTGTTTTAAAAATGTATAAAGTGTTAACTTCCTTCCAAAAAACATTCCACACATGAACAGAATATCAATGTAAACGGTACGCACCTTTTTAACAAATATTTTTTGAAATAAATTCAATCTGGATGTGGTGAACAATTTGAATTTACAACAAGTAGATACGCTCCGAAATGTTATCAAATGACAGTTAGAATTAATCACACGTGAGCAATTTACCACAAACGCACCTCGCTCTTTAAAATCTCGGGACGCTAAGCTGCGGAGTTGAACCTGGATAGTACTTGAATGGGCGGACAACCATGCGCATTCGTGACAGACAGCAGAGGGCAGTGCCGAACATCCATTGTCCCATCGGCACGCTGTCCATCTTTACTAATCCGCACCGACCAGCACGGTGAAGCGTGGCCAGTTCATCTCCGCGTGACCCACGCGGCATGGGTAGGCACTCATCCAGCAGTGCATTAACTAAAGGCCTCGGATTATGTTGCTTGCTGACCCACACCGGGCAGGCTCGGCACAGCCCGCCGGCACGGCTAAAAAGGAGGTTTGAGTTGCTTCTGTGTTTGTCTGCAGATGTCTTGCCACCCAGAGGTGAACAGATACATCGAGGATACTTTGCACTGCATTCGGCCTCTGTTGGAACAGGTGTGTTTTGGAGTGTATTGTTACACACTACAGTTACAGATTGACATTATATGGTACTACACATGCACTTGCTTAGCTGCCCTGAGTGTGTTTACATTGTGGGGTTCCATCATTGCCTTTCCGCAACGACAGAATGCCGTGGAGCAGTTTGTGGTGGCCATTGTGAACAAGGAGAACAAGCCGGTGGAGCGGTTTGTCTTCGAGATATCGCCACCCAACGTTGCGTCACACAGGTAACCGTCACGATCATTGTCGTCGTCGTTGGCGATGATCATTCCACTGCTAGGTAAAGGCCACCATCCCTTGCAGTCCTGTGATCAATCTACCTAGAATCTGCACACGAGCTGTAACAGCTTGAAATGTATTTGAATTGTAACGTTGCTAAGTAAACAACTTTGAAACAACAAATACTGTTTTGATTTAAAGCTTTCGTGACTGCAGGGATTCATATTCTTGGTTCTTTCGGTAAATTCACGTAGAAGGGAAACAATAAAATAATAAAATATAAAACAATTAAATTATTGCGATGTTTCGACCGCAACACAAGCAATCATCATCAGGTGTGAAAACCACAGCAAGAAAATTTGAAAAAAGTGGCTTTTTTAACATTAGCACCACGGAGAGCGATTTTGGCAGTTATTTAGATGGACGAGTTCATCTATGTTCGGAAAAGAGGAGGGGGGAGACGAAAATAATGGATGCGGTCTGCAAGCCACCATAAGCGTGAACAATCAATTAAGACCCCAAATGGTTTATCCAAGCCTTCCAATGATTGCTAAGCCAGAATCCATCTTCTTGGTTGAAATTGTCTCTTTTTGTATATGTGGATAGCCTCATGAACGAATCTCTCATGGTAGCCAGATGTCTTGCATGAGATTGACTTCTCCAAGACAGAGGTTCTTTGCAAGCCATTTGGCTACCATGAGAGATTCGTTCATGAGGCTATCCACATATACAAACACGGAGACAATTTCAACCGAGAAGATGGATTCTGGCTTAGCAATCATTGGAAGGATTGGGTAAACATGATTGTTCACGCTTATGGTGGCTTTTAGACCGCATCCATTATTTTCGTCTCCCCCCTCCTCTTTTCCGAACATAGATGGACTCGTCCATCTGAATAACTGTCAAATCGCTCTCCGTGGTGGTAACGTAAAAAAAAACGCCACTTTTTTCAAATTTTCTTGCTGTGGTTTTCACACGTGATGATGATTGCTTGTGTTGCAGTCGAAACGTCGTGAGAATTTTATTGTTTTATATTTTTATTATTTTATTGTTTCCCTTCTACGTGACTTTACCGAAAGAACTAAAAATAACAAATACTGTATTCTTGTTGAAAAGTATTTACCTAGGCCGGTGTGCCCAAGTCTTTCTGACCTTGAGTTTGCCAAAAAAATCATGATCAGGCACTCTGTTGTAGTGCTTTAAGAAAGTCCCTGCACATAAATCGGAAATTGTCCACGCTGAAGAAAACCCTGTGAGCTTACCTGTTGAAGATAACCGTGATTTGGCCATGCGTGCACATAACAGATCACACACATAAAGGATGCACACCTCATGGTTGGAGCTCACTCAGTAAGCCTGCACTGTTCTCGCCCCATTGGCAGCTTAGATGAGATGCTGGCCGGGCTTGAGAAAGCTCTACGAGCCTTCCTGCTCAAGATCAGCGTGGCCGACTCCATCCTCGAGGAGAACCCTGCAGGTGCTCTTCCACCGAGGGTTCACCTTTATACCTTCGACTTTAGCCCTTTCCCCGGCTGTATAGCACATCGCATTAAGCAGCTGCGCGGTAACATGTTGCGCTTTGGTGGTGAGATGTTAACTACCTCACCCGGTATACATGAGGTTCGCGGGTTCGATCCCGACCCTGACGCCTGTGGTATATTTGGAGTTTGCGTGTTTCCCTCCTCCCGTGGTCGTGTAGATTTTTCTCAAGGTCCTCCAGTTTTTCCCTTTACATTTATAATCAACGTACTTTTAGAGTCTTTGACTGCTATAAACGTCCACGTGATAAGCCACTTCTGATAAAGAGCGACATAGCTCAGTGGGCTTTAACTGGTAAATTGTTATTTTGGTCTTCATCTGAACCACATTGTCCCATGATATTCCAGTGGCCCTTTCAATCATTGGTGATCTTGTCTTTGAGGGTCACGAATATGCATATAAAGCATTTGTTTGCATCAGCCGTTGTGCGTACCGTAATCCAGCTGGGAGGAGGAGCGGTGGCGCAGTGGTTCGTGTACTGCGCTAGGAACCCGGCGGCCTGCATTCGATTCACGGCCACAGTTCAGCATCAACGGTGATTGATATCTGAACCGGTCCTGGGTCTGTCTTACCCTCCCTTCACCGAGCTCTCCTGAGTAGAGTTGTGTAGCATAATGGAAAGGGGATTTTATTTTTGTCGGATATGATCGATGTTTAGTTCAGCATAAGAGGAGAAATGGATAAACATCTATTGTATATCAACAGTAAAATGATGATACACATTTTCAATAACATGTGTCTGTTTTGTGTGCAATTGTATTGTTTTATAGATTGTTCTTTCACAATATTTGTGCACACATTGGAGAACGCCATGGCGAGTACAGAGGTTGTTCAAATGCAAAAGGTAATTCTTTGCACTTTCATAACCCCCCCCCCCCCCCCTTACAGAGTGGCAGGTCAGGATGGTTTAAAAACAGGAAATTGAAACCACGCAGACTAACACTTTTTACATATTTTTTTTGTCAATACGGCCATCGTCAACATCGGCGTGCCGCATTATTAAATGATCGGTATGTACAGATAGGGTCACCAAGCAAGTGAGACTCTTCTTAAGTCGGCGGACTGTTTTTTATTCCTGCACGTCCATCAGTTGTTTGGCTCTTGTGAGATATAAAATATTGCCTGGCAAGATAATCGATATTAAATTACACTTGTGGATTTTTGATTGCAGTCCAAAACGGTTTCGTGATTAACTACACCACTGTGATGGAAATCACCTGTATGAAAACAGTGGCACAAAGACATTTATCTGCTGATTGAGAATAGACATGGATTGATATATATAAGCAGAACTCCATTCTGTGTCTCCGCACATAAAAATCAAATAAAAAAGATGTAGTCTATCAGCCAGACCATCAGCAGATTCAGGCTTGTTAAACAAATATTGCAGGATTACCAGATTTTATTGGGACGCGTATGCCATATAAAGTATGGTACCCCAATTCAATGCAAAACGCAATAATATACAGAAGCTCATTGTGTTTTACCGTAGAGCATTGACTCATCTGTTGTGTTATTTCTGTGGATGCACTTTGGCATCATGGAAGAGCTTTCCGTTGGTCCAAGCTGATGAAGAAGAGGTAGCGATGTCTTCAGCAAGAATGGTCCCTTTGAAGACCTTGTCTTCGGCCATATTTAAAGTAAGTATGGATTGGAATTCCAAACACACGGAACAGATGTAATGTTTTGACAAGAGGATATGTAACTTGCCTTTTCTCTGTATCTACTATCGTGAGATGCTACTCTTTAGCTATGATGATGTGTGCGAGTGTTAATGTTTGTAACCGGTCAATTTTGTATGGCTGCTTCGAGTGAAATTTTAATTTGTTTTAATCATAAAATGTGTGTGCGTTCAGTACATTGCTTATTTGACCGTCACGTTCGCACTGACCAATTCACCCTTTCCCGTTCCAAGACGTCTGCAAGTTGCAGGGTGGGTGCCCCGTTCACCACTGAATCTAGGAACGCGCAAGCGTTTATCGTTAATTTGATTTAGAGGCACAGCATCATTGTTTTTGTACTCTCCGCAGAGAACTGTAGCGACACGACTCTATGATAGCTGGCGCCAAACTGTTCCACATGTCCTCCCGCATGGCCTTGTGGGAGCCTTGGTACGTCTTTGGGGTGGAAAACGCACCGATAAAGTTATTGTATTTGTTTTTCTTCCGATTCGTTTGCAATGACGTACATGTACGTCAACGGAATGAAATCGGAAGAAAGACTGGGAAAGGGTTAACCGCCCCCCAACCAGTCCCGGCAAATGGCATCTGCCATATACCCGCAGTGTCCGCAATGGCTACACAAAGACAGTGACGGTCTGAGGCAGGCCCCACGCAACAAATGCAGGTCTGTTTTTTTTAACATGGCTGCGCAACAAATATCCTTTACGCAGAAACCCATTAAGGACTTTTGTTCAGAGTTAAAAAGTTATTCAATTTAAGCTGTTGCCCATTTATTATTCTCAGTTTTATATTTCTATTAGAAGTTTTGCTTTTAGAAAGCTTCTTGGCTTATATTGTAAACCACATGGTAATGTACAGAACTGTATAGTAATTTATTTGTAATCACTTACAGTGAGGGAAAAAAGTTTTGATCCTCTGCTGATTTTGTACGTTTGCCCACTGACAAAGAAATGATCAGTCTATAATTTTAATGGTAGGTTTATTTGAACAGTGAGAGACAGAATAACAACAACAAAATCCAGAAAAACGCATGTCAAAAAAGTTATAAATTTATTGCATTTTAATGAGGGAAATAAGTATTTGACCCCCTCTCAGTCAGAAAGATTTCTGGCTCCCAGGTGTCTTTTATACAGGTAACAAGCTGAGATTAGGAGCATACTCTTAAAGGGAGTGCTCCTAATCTCAGCTTGTTACCTGTATAAAGGGCACCTGTCTAAAGAAGCAATCAATCAGATTCCAAACTCACCACCATGGCCAAGACCAAAGAGCTCTCCAAGGATGTCAGGGACAAGATTGTAGACCTACACAAGGCTGGAATGGGCTGCAAGACCATTGCTAAGCAGCTTGGTGAGAAGGTGACAACAGTTGGTGTGATTATTCGCAAATGGAAGAAACACAAAAGAACTGTCAATCTCCCTCGGCCTGGGGCTCCATGCAAGATCTCACCTCGTGGAGTTGCAATGATCATGAGAACGGTGATGAATCAGCCCAGAACTACACGGGAGGATCTTGTCAATGATCTCAAGGCAGCTGGGACCATAGTCACCAAGAAAACAATTGGTAACACACTACGCCGTGAAGGACTGAAATCCTGCAGCGCCCGCAAGGTCCCCCTGCTCAAGAAAGCACATATACATGCCCGTCTGAAGTTTGCCAATGAACATCTGAATGATTCAGAGGGCAACTGGGTGAAAGTGTTGTGGTCAGATGGGACCAAAATGGAGCTCTTTGGCATCAACTCAACTCGCCGTGTTTGGAGGAGGAATGCTGCCTATGATCCCAAGAACACCATCCCCACCGTCAAACATGGAGGTGGAAACATTATGCTTTGGGGGTGTTTTTCTGCTAAGGGGACAGGACAACTTCACCGCATCAAAGGGACGATGGACGGGGCCATGTATAATCTTGGGTGAGAACCTCCTTCCCTCAGCCAGGGCATTGACAATGGGTCGTGGATGGGTATTCCAGCATGACAATGACCCAAAACACACGGCCAAGGCAACAAAGGAGTGGCTCAAGAAGAAGCACATTAAGGTCCTGGAGTGGCCTAGCCAGTCTCCAAACCTTAATCCCATAAAAAATCTGTGGAGGGAGCTGAAGGTTCGAGTTGCCAAACGTCAGCCTCGAAACCTTAATGACTTGGAGAAGATCTGCAAAGAGGAGTGGGACAAAATCCCTCCTGAGGTGTGTGCAAAGCTGGTGGCCAACTACAAGAAACGTCTGACCTCTGATTGCCAACAAGGGTTTTGCCACCAAGTACTAAGTCATGTTTTGCAGAGGGGTCAAATACTTATTTCCCTCATTAAATGCCGTCCTCCAGACAATTCAGAACATTTTTGACATGCGTTTTTTCTGGATTTTGTTGTTGTTATTCTGTCTCTCACTGTTCAAATAAACCTACCATTAAAATTATAGACTGATCATTTCTTTGTCAGTGGGCAAACGTACAAAATCAGCAGGGGAGCAATTACTTTTTTCCCTCACTGTAGTTCTCAGTGATATTGTTTAAAACAGTTTTTTTATTTGTTTTCGTCCAATAATCTATATGTGCATGGTGTAAATGTCATTTTCTGTATCTCTCCGTTTCATATATCCGCTTATATCTCGGACCCCAGTGAGTTGGATATGCGATGGTGCGCTGTGTTCTGTGGCTGAAACCACCAAACTCTTTGCACTGAGAAATATTTGATGCAGAGTGGAGTTTTCAAGTAGGTTGCCTTAGTTCATTAATAAATAAGCACCATGAAGCACTAAATAACTGCTCCATGCATGCATTGCATTCCTGCAAATAAACGACCACTTACTACGCATGCTTTGGGAAACAATGGCATTTGACCATTTACATTTTAATTAAGTTATTGCATTTTGTTTTATGCTTCAGCAACATTCATCTCGCATCACAGAGCAAAGATAACACATGCACGGTCTTTTTTTGTCAATCCACTGCTGGACGAGGGCCTCGCCACACCATGCAAGTCGTAGGGGCTATTTGACTATAAGTCGCACAAGTCGTTGTGGTTTTGTCAAGGTGGGAGCATACAAGTACAGGACAACAGTACATATTGTTGCACTGATCTCTATTGTCTAACATGCAACCAAAAATTGTTATGGCCTATAACACCTGCCATGCATGGTGGTCACTCAACCAAAGCACTTATCTAGGCTGAACAATGCATAGCTTTCGAGATATGATGAGATCAGGTGCATTATGGGTGAGTAAGTAATGAGCCAAGGTAACAAAGTAATAGATATCTTAGATAATGCATATGTTTGTGTTTTAACATTGTGGAATTGTTGTTTGTTTGTGTGGCTGCAGATGCAAATGTATGTGGAGGAGAGTTCAACCAAGACTTAATAAGAACAAGAATACATTATTATATAGCATTGCTCATACAAAATTGCATCTCACAGTGCTGTACAGTACATCCTCGTTTTACGCGGTAGATGCGTTCCTGAAAAGTGCCGCGTTAAGTGAAAAACGCGTTTCACCAACACAATTTCCCCATAACTAATGTAACGATAAGGTTTGCCGGGGATTCGATGTACGACCAAACGCAGACAGTGAGATGGTGGGACAAAAAATGGAGGGGTACGCTGCCGCGTCACTGTCTCATTCCGTGTTACTGTATCAGTCTGCTCAGCTGCGTGGTTGAAGAAAGTAGTTCGTCATCGACCGCACAGAGACTGCGGTATAACGGGTGCATTCCGTGTTGTAACTTTCTAAAAAAAAACAGATGGGGAGCCAATGAAGGGAATTCAGCACCTCAGCATAATTTTGGACTGATTTAATCTGTTAAATACGAAAATTCGGGAGACCATATGAAAGAGAATTGCAGTAAAACAGCCTGGAAGGTACAAAGGCATGAATGAATGTTTCAGCAGCAGCAGAGTGAGTTAGAGATGTACTATTAAGATGAAAGAAATTACATTTACAGGAAAGACAAGTATGGCGAGTAAAAGACAGCTCCAAATCCAAAATGTGTACAGTGAAGGGAAAAAAGTATTTGATCCCCTGCTGATTTTGTATGTTTGCCCACTGACAAAGAAATGATCAGTCTATAATTTTAATGGTAGGTTTATTTGAACAGTGAGAGACAGAATAACAACAACAAAATCCAGAAAAACGCATGTCAAAAATGTTATAAATTGATTTTCATGAGGGAAATAAGTATTTGACCCCTCTGCAAAACATGACTTAGTACTTGGTGGCAAAACCCTTGTTGGCAATCACAGAGGTCGGACGTTTCTTGTAGTTGGCCACCAGGTTTGCACATATCTTAGGAGGGATTTTGTTGCACTCCTCTTTGCAGATCTTTTCCAAGTCATTAAGGTTTTGAGACTGACGTTTGGCAACTCGAACCTTCAGCTCCCTCCACAGATTTTCTATGGGATTAAGTTCTGGAGACTGGCTAGGCCACTCCAGGACCTTAATGTGCTTCTTCTTGAGCCATTCCTTTGTTGCCTTGGCCGTGTGTTTTGGGTCATTGTCATGCTGGAATACCCACCCACCACCCATTTTCAATGTCCTGGCTGAGGGAAGGAGGTTCTCACCCAAGATTTGATGATACATGGCCCCGTCCATCGTCCCTTTGATGCGGTGAAGTTGTCCTGTCCCCTTAGCAGAAAAACACCCCCAAAGCATAATGTTTCCACCATGTTTGACGGTGGGGATGGTGTTCTTGGAGTAATAGGCAGCATTCCTCCTCCTCCAAACACGGCGAGTTGAGTTGATGCCAAAGAGCTCCATTTTGGTCTCATCTGACCACAACACTTTCACCCAGTTGTCCTCTGAATCATTCAGATGTTCATTGGCAAACTTCAGACGGGCATGTATATGTGCTTTCTTGAGCAGGGGGACCTTGCGGGCGCTGCAGGATTTCAGTCCTTCACGGCGTAGTGTGTTACCAATTGTTTTCTTGTTTACTATGGTCCCAGCTGCCTTGAGATCATTGACAAGATCCTCCCGTGTAGTTCTGGTCTGTTTCCTCACCGTTCTCATGATCATTGCAACTCCACGAGGTGAGATCTTGCATGGACCCCCAGGCCGAGGGAGATTGACAGTTCTTTTGTGTTTCTTCCATTTGCGAATAATCGCACCAACTGTTGTCACCTTCTCACCAAGCTCCTTGGCAATGGTCTTGTAGCCCATTCCAGCCTTGTGTAGGTCTACACTCTTGCCCCTGACATCCTTGGAGAGCTCTTTGGTCTTGGCCATGGTGGAGAGTTTGGAATCTGATTGATTGATTGTTTCTGTGGACAGGTGTCTTTTATACAGGTAACAAGCTGAGATTAGGAGCACTCCCTTTAAGAGTCTGCTCCTAATCTCAGCTCGTTATCTGTATAAAAGACACCTGGGAGCCAGAAATATTTCTGATTGAGAGGGGGTCAAATACTTATTTCCCTCATTAAAATGCAAATCAATTTACAACATTTTTGACATGCGTTTTTCTGGATTTTTTTTGTTTTTATTCTGTCTCTCACTATTCAAATAAACCTACCATTAAAATTATAGACTGATCATTTCTTAGTTAGTGGGCAAACGTACAAGATCAGCAGGGGATCAAATACTTTTTCCCTCGCTGTACTTGACAACAATCAAGTCAGAGTTGAATAAATAAAGCTTGTGGTAGAAATTTCAATTGACCTTTTGTTACCGATGAGGATACCGGTTTTCCATGCTATAGTAATCCCTCGCCAACCACGAGGATTAGGTTCCTGAAAACCCTTGCGGTTGGTAAATTTGTGGTTGGTAAAGTCCAGAGGCCTATGGGAAAAAGGGGGTTAGGGGAACCACTGCCATGGTCAGACTCGTCATAGCTTAAGTTGCCCGTTTATTAACTAAAGGCCGAATAAAATACAGTGCATTACACAATAACATAATAAAATATAAAGAAACATTACATTAATGTAACATACCTTTAATATTAACAATGACGAGATGATAGGAGAAGGGCTCAGCCCACCCTCTTCCTCCAGGTCACAGATGCAAAGAGGAGATGATGTTTCCAAGTGGGAGAAAGTAGGCAAGGAAAAGTCGAGGACCAAGAGTAGAACACGACAGATTAAGAATATGCACCTTTTATAGAATAGAAATACAGCAATATTGATCATAACGATTAGAGAACCAAGCGAGAAAAGCTTCAGAGGCTCCCACGCGGTCAAGTGTGTCTAAGGCAGCCGATAAATCCAGGAGAACCAAACAGAGCCAAAAGATGATTCGGGAACACGCAATAGAGCAGTGTTAGTTGAATGATTTGCCCGTAAACCAGAATGCAGTGGATCATAAAAGTTATATTTGATAAGGTGGTTAATTGAATGGATAAGCATGACATGTTCAAAGAATCTTAGATATGCTCTTTGGTTCTTTCGGTAAAGTCACGTAAGCCAAAGGCTTATTCCACCTGATCATGGACGCTTGTGTTGCGCCCGAAACGTCGTGATTTATTTTATACCCACGTGACTTTATTGAAAGAACCACAGTATGGATTCCTGCAGCCACGAAAGCTTCAAATCATTCTTAGATATGAAAGGGAAATTAGAAACAGGATGAAAATGTACTAAAGTATGGTAGAGTGAGGGGTTTTCTTTTCATCAGAATCGGGGTAACAGTTGCCATCTTTATTTAATTTGGGACAGGATGAGAAGAAATTGATTGATCCATGATTTAGGTTATCTACAGAGCAAGGGGCAATAAATGGGGACATTAAAGGACCGAGTCGGGAAGTGTTCTTTTTAGGTCACGAATTATCAAACCTCTCGCCCTTTCGTGAAGAAGTGAAGGGAGATCCAGGGAGGACGGAGAGGACGAGGGAGACCTTGACGAGTCAAAGATGGAACAATAGACGCTCTAATATCCTGTATTATATTTTAAAAATATATACAAATCAAATGTCTCACAAAGGGCTGCAGGTAACAATGAACTCCTGATGAATGTGACCATGTGCTCCAACCCACGCTGCCCATCGGAATTGCCTTCCCTCTGGACTAAGCTGTCCGTATAGTCATTAATTCTGTGCACTGTAAAGTTTAGAGAACATGCAGTAATGTGGCTCTTTGCTGATTGCTGGCAAGCTGGTCCATGAGGACGACGTAGCTTTGTGGTCGGTGTTAATTTATGGTAATGTGAAGCGGATCGAAGTATCGTTCATGACTTGACTGTGGTCATGTTGTTTTTGGAATAGTTTTGGGCAGGCAAAGCTCATACTATTGCTATCTTGGGGTAGGTCTTTTGTATTGCACGACATTGACACGTTTTTTTAATGAACAATCATTGTTTTTACCTATTGCTGCACAATGTTTGCATTCATGTGGGCACGCACGGGTGTGAAGGATATAATGTATTTGTTTCATATTTTTTTACAATACAGTGCGTGTAGTTGGTAAATACGAAGGTATACTGAGCGTCGCAATGTTTTTAGCAATATTGTATGCTTCAGATTTCTATACCAATAAAATGCTGTGGCGATGGAGTGATGAGATCAGCTTATTTGCAGGAGAGAGGGATAGATTGTGGGATCGCAGGACCGTGTGGAGAGGCGGATGGATTGGGAAGCTTTCATCCAGCACTGGACAAAACGTGGATGATGATGAACATATACTACTGTCACATTGGAATAAATTCTCAATGGTTGATGTGGGGATAGCTGAGGTTTTCCCCTTTTAAAACGACTTACTGTGCCTTAAACACTTTTCTATGAAGTCAAATTACTGTATCAACCATGCCATACTGTTAAGGCAACTGAGGTGGCCCAATTACAGGTTAGTATCATGAGCCAGCACCACCGAGATATCCTGGGTTTGAATCGAGACAGCCACCAGCGATTTCACTCTGCTCAAGCACTGTTTAGTCAGTTAAATGTCTCAGGCTGGTCAGCAGTGTCCGTACACAGAATTCATTACGCTTTGTTTTGCACTTAATTTAGTTACATTCCATCTCTGAAAATGAAATATACCGGGTTGACTGCGATGTCACAGTCTGACAGCAGTGTGTAACGGATAAAAAGGCAACTTCATTTTTTTCAATAAGTCTGAAAATCTGTTGCACTTCTTGGTTCTTTCGGTAAAGTCACGTAGAAGGGAAATAAAAGAATAAAAATATAACAAAATAAAATTCTCACGACGTTTCGGCTACAACGCAAGCAGCCGTCCTCAGGTGAAGAAACAGAACTGTCGGAAAGACAGCGTCTTAATGAACACTGCTTGGCAGCGTATTTTAAGCTGCGTTGGAGGATGAGAGAGCCTTGACAAAGGAGTTTACATATCAACAGAAGAATTTAGCATATTGATGACAAATGCAGATTATGGGGTTAGTCACTCCTTGCCGAATGTGTAGGCGGTGGGGGGTCTCAAAGTCATTATGCTAGTGTATTATGTAGGATTAGTAATAAAGGGAGTCACGAAAGCTTTAAATCGCAATCTGTTGCACTGTTCTGAGATTTCAATGGCTTCTTATCTCACGTGACGATAGCATTTATTTCTTTATTTAGAAGAACAAAAAAATCTAACTCGCGCTGACAAGCTTCGTACTTTTCAACAATCCAGAGTGATGGCTGATCCAGAGCAGAGCAACATTGTGTAATTAGCCTGTGCTGTCCACAGTATTAAATAGATTTCCATTTTATTGGTATATTTGCTATGCATGTGACTGGATCAATGTTTATTCTTAAGCTCACGATATGTGCATATAATATTCTACTTGAGAATAGATTTGTGTACATAATATGCAAATTATGTTACATATAGGCTCATAGAGCAAACAACTGTACAAAGGAAACACAAAACTCATGTCAACAAGATAAAAAAAATCATACTGTACACGAGAGAATCAGTTTCTGAA